AATGAATGGATTACACGGCGGTATTTTCCTGTTTCATAAGGCTATGCCCTCTCCACTTTTGGTTTCCACGCTGGTGGAAACCCAAAATAAAACACACATTAAGAGGCTCTAATGTCTGTGTCTCAATCTCGCAGCCCATGTCACCCCTACTTGCAGCCCGCATAATGACGTGAAGAATTTTTTTTTTTTTTTTTAATTATTCACAAAATTTATTTAATATGAAGGCAATAGGCAGAGTGTTACAGGCATAGCCCTAAAGAATGTAGCCTCATGGACAGTGTAGTCCGTGCTGCAGGAAGAATGGCCTACCATACCAGTTATGTGTCTGGGAGCGCGAGGAGAGAAAAAAAGAGTTGAAAAGTACGAGCTGTCACCGACCAGAAACGAGAGATGGAAGCGTGTAAATATAATAATAACCACTGCAGCCAAAAAGAGTGGGTGACAAGCCCAGTTGTAAGTAAGCCATTAAGACTCGACTGTACACTGTGTTCGTGTTTTCCTCTCAAACAATAAGTTGGAGCAGCCTTTCAACGCCTCTCTGTCTCTTGCTAGCAAAGGTGACCCAGACAACAAAGTAAAGCTAGTTTTTGGCTACGAGCCCGACATATTAGCCAGAGGTCCCTTTACGGTTTTACACCTTTACGGTTCGGAGCCGCGGACCTGTTTTATATACGCGCGGAATAGTTTCTATACGAGATCGCTGCAAAAAGTGCAGCCTTACATGTCCACCCTACTGTTACTCATTTTTTTTATATTAAGATTTAAAAATCTAGTTGGTATTGGAATTGGTATGGCGAATAACCTTCAGTAAAAGTAATAAATCACACAGCAATAGCACATTCATGTAGTTGTAAAAAGCACGATAATATATTAAGTAATCCAAAGTGTTCAGAATACGTTACAAAATACATTTTGGGGCATGTATTCTGTAATCTGTAGTGGAATACATTTTAAAAGTAACCTTCCCAACACTGTGTATATTCCCAATCTCCCACTATGCACTGCAAAGTGGGGTTTGATAGTAATATTAACAACAGTAATAAGACTAATGTTCAATTAATGTTCAAGAATTTAAACAAAGAAGTTTAATCGCAAAGTAAAAACAGAATATCATACCAGGGGCAGTGATGGTCCATTTTCAGCACACACCTTGAAAAAAAAGCAAGAAGCACAATGTGCATCCTATCAGTACCATCCAGTATATACCAACATATTGATCTTTTCACTGACCCAGTAAACAAAAACGACACATTTGATAAACCCTTATTAAGATATTAGTTTTCCATATTATCACTTTCCTAAAAAAAAAAAAACAAAAAAAAACAACAAACATTTAAAAGTATTCTGTAACGTTTCCTGAATTTCTATTGCCAGAAGAAGAAACTACTTTAGGGTGGATGTTTTAAGAAGATCTTATTCAGGAATGTGTTGATAAAGTGTGGACACTTAGAGAGGACTCACATTTCACAGGTTGAACAGTGATGGCAGCGATCAGGCTTGATTACCTGACAGAAGTCGCAGTATCTGATGGCTAGAGAGAGAGAGAAAAAAAAATTAACTGTATACCTGCTGGATATTCTTAAAGCATATTCGTTAAATCCCCCTGTGAATCCAAGCGGGTCACATCCTGACTTTTAATTAGCAGGGGAGCCAGAAGAGAAAGCAAGGTGCACCTGAGTCTAATTAACCCTCCTGACACAGGCTTTTCCGTAAACACAGCACAGACAAGCCTAGTATGTATTAAACTGAGAAACAACCAGAGAAGACATGTGATTGTCATTTGTAATGCTTTTGCAATGTTGATGGCTGATGATGAAAACTTTTGTGCACTTCCTCTTTTTTCAGAGCAACATTTTGCTAACAGAGTTTTCCCTGATGGTGTGTAAAACAAAACAAAGCACAGTCACTTACTACACTGTATCTAAAGCCATACCTCCTCCAGTTGTGCGTGTGTACACGGGTAAATTCCTCGCCACTTTCTTCAGGATCTCTTGTTGGGCCTCAGCTCGCTCTTCTCTCTCATACAGCTCCTTCTCTGCCCTGGGTAGACTGAACTGACAACAGAAAAAGAAAAGTGTTCAGTGATCAGTGTTTTGTTTATTTCCTTTCTTCCGCTAAGCGAGGACTGTGACAGAAGCAAACTTACTGCTTTTGAGGGACTGGCTGGTTTGGACCAGATAGTTTTCCAGTAAGCCCATATGAACATGGCGAGGAAAATGTGAAAGATAACCAAGTAGCTGACTGTTGTAGAAAAAAAAAAAAAGAAAAGAAGGATCCTTAGCGGGAGAGAAATAACAGCATCAAATATGAGTGAGTGTGTGTGTGTGAGGGCAATACTCACTTCGTTCAGCATTATTTGGGATTGTATCTATAGGAAGAAGGTAAAGTATATGTGTATATATTAGTTAGGAGTAATACATGACTACACATCCCCCACTTCTCTTTCTCTTCCTCACACCATGTTGCAGCAGCCTGGCACGGCCAGCAGTGACCCACCCACAACAGAGAGCTTTGTTTAAGCATCAGCAGGGATGTCCCTGTCCTGACCACAGCCGCAACACAGAGACATGCTGATACTGGTCTCATCAGCTCCCGCCTGAATCGAACTATTTAACTTGGCGTCTGTGTGTGGGAGCAGCACAAATCACACGACACACAACTTATTAAAAACTGCTGGAAAAAAAAATAGCATAAACACTTAGGACTTACTCAGGAACGCGCCAAATAAATTATGTTTACTAGAATTCAAGTTACAATTACAGAATCCACTCCTGGAAGTTAAATATGTAAAGCGGGTACAAACAAATACAAATCAAATTCCCTTTTTTTTCTCCTGAAACGACAAGTTGTTAAAATTTAAAATTGAAAAATCATTTTTAAACTGCTCAAAATATGTTTAATTACAGATAAATACACACTAATAGCATCAAAAAGTCACGAACTAGATTTTAAAGCTGGCTCGGAAGCACCTCATTTATTGACACCCCAAAACTATATAAAATAACAACAACAACAACAACAACAACAACAACAACAACAACAGCAGCTAGTAAATATATCTAGTAAACTCAGAAAGTTTTAACATGATTAAGCAACACACAAACGACAAACCCTTTCACAGTCAATCCACTTTTCTATTTTTATGATATCCGTTATTTGACCCATTACGTCTGCCCTAATGGAGTGATTAATTATTAACGGAGAAAAGTATTTCCTCTCACTGGAGGGGAAGAAAAAAGTAGACAAACGAAGCTGTCATGAAAAAAAAAAACAATTTATGTAAAATATTTCCATGAAAAGGAGAGACAGAAATATGTGTTAATATTCGCCAAACGTTTCATCGCATTACGGAGTGTGAAGCCAGATTTTAAATTTTCAACTAGCTCATCAAAGTTTCAAACCCTGTCACTGTCAACGCACGCGGCCGCTAAACGTTTATAAAGGTGAGCGCACTTACAGACACACAGCTCGACAACGTAGGCGTAATAGGACCAGCCGACGACCAGGTTAATAAACAGGACAGGTACCCAATTCAGAGCCCGTTTACAGCACCTTAGTGCGTGAGAGGGCGCCATCTTTAATCCGTGTTTGACATTAGCTGACGGTGACGTCACAACCACGGCTTTTAAATGGTCCAGCCAAAGATGCATTAGGCTCAAGATACTTCACCGCAGTGCAGGCGACGAGGAACGGAACGTGGATGTTTTAGTTGTTCAAAAAGTGAAATTTAAGTATATTTTTAACGCACCGTTCGTAATCATTCCTCTCAGCAGAGAAACAGTCATAATAAAACACAGTGGCAGCTAAAGTTGAGGTCTTCTTAGGGCGTATTGAAGCATGTCAGCCTGTTAACCCACAACATTGAAATCATGACTCTCACAATCTTTGGCTAGTTAGTTCCCTCGTGATATGCTCAGACTTTTGTATTTATGAGTAAGAATATGTTGAAAATAAACAAAAAACAAGCAATTTTAGGCCACTCATTAGGTTTAGTAAACCAGAAAAAAAGTCAGAATAGGTCAAAGGTTTCATTTGTTTGTTCATTTATTATTTTGTCCAGCTGGGGGCAGAGAAACACAATGCTGTGTGAAGTTGTGGAGCACAGTTAACCATTGTTTTGGAGCTCGGTGTCTGTCCACCTGTTTGCAATTAAGTAATTTTAGTCTCCACTCCTAATTTGCTAGATGCCTTAATTGTCTTTCTCTTTTTTATTGATTCTTTTTTTTCGCTTGGTGCTAGCTGAGCAAGACGGGTGTGTGAATAAGAGGGAGGCGGGAGTTTAAATACCTGGGGTTAGCCATTTAAAGCAATGGACAGTGCACAAAAGAACTGAAGAAGCGAATGTTGGTGAATGCAATTATCCTGTCTTATTCCCCCCCAGGGTGCCCCTCCCTGATCGTTTTTCTACCGGAGATTTCTTCCTGTTAAAAGGGTTTTTCCTTCGTAATGTTGCCAAATGCTCGCTCATAGAGGCTTATTTGATTATTAAGGTTTTTTACTTCTTATTTACTTCTTTTTACTTTGGGAGAGTGATAAGAAGGAAATTGTTAAATAAATACATTCTGTGACTGACCTCTTTTATTTCTATAAAACTGCTTAAACCTTTATTTATTAAGTCTTCCTTACACCATCATGAAATTGCCTTAGTTTGCCAATACAAAAGCAAAAGTTTCAGTGTAGTACATTACAGTTTTAGGTGGAGAACCTCACCGACACTCAAGATTTTTATTGTTTTGAAGATGAGCATGTGCTCCATTACATTTAGTGTTGTATGAAAGAAACACAAATGATAATACAAGATGACATCCAAACAAAATTTTAATGTTGTTTTTCTTTTCTTTTCTGTACACACACATTATGTACATGACGTTGGACTTAAATACACCCCTAATAAATTAAATATTTTCATTTTTAGTCGCTAGTTATAATTAATAGCCTCCTTTCAGAACATTTTCTTCCAAATGAATGGCAAATAGACTGCAAGAGGACAAATGAGGAGCTCATTGTGCATGCTTGCTGTTTATAGAGGCAACTTTCGGTGACGAGCGTGAACGTCTCCCCTTTTTAGTTGAAGAGTGGGAAGATGGAGAGGAAGGTGGGGAGGCAGTTGCAGAAGAGGGGGTGGAGTCAGAAGAAACTGAGCGTCTTCTGGTGGGACTGCTGCTTGGTGAGCCATGGGGCGAAGAGTAGGGTGATAGGGCCTGGAGCATACGGCCACTTCTCTCCTGAATTGCATGCTAAACAAGGGCAGACACAGATCAGATTTTCACTGTGTGTAATGCTATGTTCTGTTGCAGTGATTTAAAGAATGCCTCTTGTGATTCAGTTTATGAAGACGTGCTTGTTTTTGCTCACACACAGACTTTTTTCTAGTTAAGAAGACTGAAATTAAATCTTGTGCTACAGTTAGTGTGTGACGTTTTTATGGTGAAAGTGAACATACCCATGCTCCATCTGGTCCGAAAAGCTCCAGAAAGTTGCCAATGAATTCCCGTGACTTCTCTTCCCATTTGTGGATGAGGTCCTGGCTCTTCTCTTCCCATTTGTGGATGAGGTCCTGGCTCTTCTCTTCCACCCTGTAGACAAAATGTTTCGACTTTTCCTCCACCGTACGGACTGTCTCTTTCATCTTGTCCACCTGGTTCTGGAGCCGGTACTTTTTCTCCTGAAATAAAGTAAGGTGCATTTGTGCCTAATTTTGTATTTACAGCCTTTTTTTCCTTTTAAGTTTGATTAAAAATGAAATATTTTCTTACATTAATGAAGCCAACATTTAGCTCACGGGCTGTGTAGCCTCTTTGCAGGTTGCGTCTGACATACATGTCGTAATTACGAACGATACGAGTGATCAGATCAGATGTGGAGATGCCCTCCGTCCTCTGAGTGGCCACAAACATTCCTGACATGAACACACAAATACTTTAAATATGTGTAATTAATTATGAGAAAAAAGACAACTAGAATTTATTTTAACGTTGCATGAATCTTCACCTGCTTCCTTGATGTGTTTGTAGACGTCCTCTGATCCAGCGGAGGTGTAAGGTATATCATCATGGGCCACAAAGTCAATCTATGAATGCAACAGAACGGTCTACAGACAGTTTGGACACTGTATAGCTTTAACACTTTATGACATTATAGGAAGCTGTGTTTAAAGTTACTGTGTGACCTTTGACCTTATGTTTCTTGAGGAATTCTGGTGTAAGACTCCAGGGTGCATCCCGCACTACCTCATCAACGTAACGGCAGTGCCTGAGGGCTTCGTAGCGTTCGTCCTCTGTCATCACCGTATAGCCCTTAAACTTGTGAGTGAGTTCATCGCTGCACACTAGGAACACAGAGATTTTCAGTGCTTGCCTCCTTCCTGATTTCTTTTTTTTCCCCATATTTGCCACACTGACATGTTTCAGATCATCAAACTAATTTTAATACTGGACAAGTTAACCTGAGTAAATACATAATGCAGTTTTTAAATGATGTTTTCGTTTATTAATGGTAAAAAGCTATCCGACTTTACCTGGCCCTGTGTGAACAAGTAAATTTTCCATAAACAATGAAGCATTAAGATCAGTCTTTCGCTTTGGAGGAATTTGGGTCCACTCTTCTTTGCAGAATTGTTTGAATTTGGCCACACTGGAGGATTTTGTACCATGAATGGCCCGTTAAACGTTACGCCACGGCAGATTGTTTCGGATCACTGTCCTACTGCATAACCTAAGTGAGCTTTGGGAAACAAACTACAGGGAGTGCAGAATTATTAGGCAAGTTGTATTTTTGAGGAATAATTTTATTATTGAACAACAACCATGTTCCCAATGAACCCAAAAAACTCATTAATATCAAAGCTGAATGTTTTTGGAAGTAGTTTTTAGTTTGTTTTTAGTTTTAGCTATTTTAGGGGGATATCTGTGTGTGCAGGTGACTATTACTGTGCATAATTATTAGGCAACTTAACAAAAAACAAATATATACCCATTTCAATTATTTATTTTTACCAGTGAAACCAATATAACATCTCCACATTCACAAATATACATTTCTGACATTCAAAAACAAAACAAAAACAAATCAGCGACCAATATAGCCACCTTTCTTTGCAAGGACACTCAAAAGCCTGCCATCCATGGATTCTGTCAGTGTTTTGATCTGTTCACCATCAACATTGCGTGCAGCAGCAACCACAGCCTCCCAGACACTGTTCAGAGAGGTGTACTGTTGTCCCTCCTTGTAAATCTCACATTTGATGATGGACCACAGGTTCTCAATGGGGCTCAGATCAGGTGAACAAGGTGGCCATGTCATTAGTTTTTCTTCTTTTATACCCTTTCTTGCCAGCCACGCTGTGGAGTACTTGGACGCGTGTGATGGAGCATTGTCCTGCATGAAAATCATGTTTTTCTTGAAGGATGCAGACTTCTTCCTGTACCACTGCTTGAAGAAGGTGTCTTCCAGAAACTGGCAGCAGGACTGGGAGTTGAGCTTGACTCCATCCTCAACCCGAAAAGGCCCCACAAGCTCATCTTTGATGATACCAGCCCAAACCAGTACTCCACCTTGCTGGCGTCTGAGTCGGACTGGAGCTCTCTGCCCTTTACCAGTCCAGCCATGGGCCCATCCATCTGGCCCATCAAGACTCACTCTCATTTCATCAGTCCATAAAACCTTAGAAAAACCAGTCTTGAGATATTTCTTGGCCCAGTCTTGATGTTTCAGCTTGTGTGTCTTGTTCAGTGGTGGTCGTCTTTCAGCCTTTCTTACCTTGGCCATGTCTCTGAGTACTGCACACCTTGTGCTTTTGGGCACTCCAGTGATGTTGCAGCTCTGAAATATGGCCAAACTGGTGGCAAGTGGCATCTTGGCAGCTGCACGCTTGACTTTTCTCAGTTCATGGGCAGTTATTTTGCGCCTTGGTTTTTCCACACGCTTCTTGCGACCCTGTTGACTATTTTGAATGAAACGCTTGATTGTTCGATGATCACGCTTCAGAAGCTTTGCAATTTTGAGACTGCTGCATCCCTCTGCAAGATATCTCACTATTTTTGACTTTTCTGAGCCTGTCAAGTCCTTCTTTTGACCCATTTTGCCAAAGAAAAGGACGTTGCCTAATAATTATGCACACCTGATATAGGGTGTTGATGTCATTAGACCACACCCCTTCTCATTACAGAGATGCACATCACCTAATATGCTTAATTGGTAGTAGGCTTTCGAGCCTATACAGCTTGGAGTAGGACAACATGCATGAAGAGGATGATGTGGACAAAATACTAATTTGCCTAATAATTCTGCACTCCCTGTAATAGATGGACATTCTCCTTCAGATAGCTGAAGAAGAAACTGATAGCAGAGAGCAGAATTCAGGGTTCCTTCAAGTCTTCCAGGTAGGTCTTGAAGCAGCAAAGCAGCCCTAGACCATCACACTACCACTACCATGTGTTGATGTTCTTTTTATGAAATTGTTAGTTTCATGTCCGATGTAACAAGACTCAAACCTTCCAAAAAGTTCAAGATTTCCTTTGTCAGTGCACAGAATATTTCTCCAAAGGTTTTGGGGGTCATCACAATGTGAGATGAACCTTTGTTTTGTTTTTAGTCAGCAGTGGTTTTTTTACTCTCTCAAGGTCTCTTTTTTATTGCTGAATCATGAACTCTGACCTTAAGCCTTGACCCTACACTTCCCCAGATGTTGTTCTGGGGTCTTTTGTGACCTCCTGGATCAGTTGTCGATATTCACTTTGGAGTAATTTTGGTATGCTGGACACTCCTAGGAAGGGCAACTGCTTTTCTGAGTTTTCTCTATTTGTGTATAATGGCTCTCACAGTGGTTCACTGAAGTCCCAAAGCTTTAGAAATGGCTTTGTAAATCTTTCCATACTGATACTTCAGTTTTTCACTAGTTAGTCACACTTACTTTAAGATTTAACAATGGAAGTATTTTCACACACAATCAGGAAGGTTTGGAGAATGTTCTTCACTTACTGAATGAAATCATCATTTAATAACTGCATTTATATTTATTCGAGTTGTCTTTGTTTAATATTAAAATTACTTTGATGACCTGAAACATGTGAGTGTGACAAATATGCAAAAAAAAAAAAAAAAGATATCAGGAAGAAGGCAAATGCTTTTTCACTGCAGTGTACACGTGACTCTTTGGAGGCCTTCTGTGTCTATTTTCATGACCCTGAAGGTTAAAGAGTGTTACTTTGTGCATGCGTTACTGTGGCGAGCGAATGAAAGGCATACTTTACCTCCTACTATAAGATGAGTGTTTGGGAACACATTCTTTGCCTGCATCAGAGCTCGAGCATGTCCCGAATGGAAAAGATCAAAAATTCCATCAGCGTAGACTCTCACGGGGCGGTTAGCTAAACATGAAGGGTGGTCTTTAAATGCAGTCATGTCATGACATAAAACTGGAGCACTTTATATTTTTGCTGTTACAAATATGGAATTCTAATGACACAGTGATGCTTTTAATTGTTAGTTAATCATTATTTTGCTGATTTGTCACTCAGTCAGATTCACAGCTGTGATCAAACCCTGAATCATCAAAATAACTGGCAGTTATGTAACAATGCTGATAATGAAATCACTTTTTTATAACTGATATCAGACAATTACAGCACAGCAAAACATCTTGGGTTAACTTTTCTTTTCCGAATTATCTTCCCTGTGTATTCAGAGTTTTTTTAAAAAGGTGGTGATAAGTGCAACCTGGTGTCCCCCTCCGTGCTTGAGCAATGGTGAGCTTGTCATGTGGGATATCAGATTCAAAACCTGTAGACTTGGCAAAATCTGCTGGCTCCCGTGGAGTCTGAACACAAAGACCAGATGGAGACATTCAGATACACTTGGTGCAAAAAGTCATCTGTTCTCAAAATCATTTAAATTTTACAGGTCGCCAGAATACATTATATGACACAAAACTATGTGTAATTACTGACGAAACATGTTCCCTCTTGCTTCATTCCTAACTGCTCGTGTTTCAAGTTTATCCAATCTCTTGCACGTGTTCAGACTTCTGCCCAGAAGTGGATGTTATTGGTACAGTCATGTTGCATTTGATAAACACCGGGGTTCATAAAAACAGAAACTGTAAGACAGTATACAGGAACACTTTAGAAAATTAAAGCATTTAAGTGAATTACTTATAATAGAAATATATGAGATGTGGTAGGTTTGCAGGTTGTGCCTCCTCTCTGTATGATAATAACTTAAAGGTAGTTTTTTTTTTTACCAATTTTAGCACATGGATGTTCAAAGATGCTATAGACTTTGTGTTGCATGCATGTCCACCTTTATCCTTTGGTGTGCTGAAAGATATACTTTAAACTCTTGATCTCTTTTTAAGTGTCTTTTGCTCCCTGAGTTGTGTTCAAATATATGATTGGTTAGTATACCAGTGCAAAACATTAATTTGACCTTGTAAACATTAGCAACATGCTCCTATGCTTCTTACTTTTTGTCTTGTATTCTGATCTCAGCCTTCATGGCGTATACACATACTGACGCACAAGCCAGCATATTTCCACATCGAACATAAATGTAAGAATTAAAATTCGAATAAATAATTATTGTTTTCGTGTTAAGTCTTTAATTCCTTTTGACATTAATTATTGCTACTGCAGACATGAGTCATGCTGTTCCACGGAGTTAATCGGTTAACTTATCCCAGTCATATAACCACAGTGGAAAAGATTACCTCAGTAATATTCAAAGCATGTTAAATAATAATGCAGTATAAGGCAGAGATATACCTCACTTCATTATAGAGTCCTCTAAATATATTCACAAAAACAAAATAAGAGGGGATCTCGTGGGGCTCCCTGTTGTTTATTATTTGAAAAACAGTGTGCAGTTGGTTCTCTTTGCTAATGACAGAAGCAGGCTTACCCTGCGAGGGCCTCCTCTTTGATTGTGCGCGGCAGCCTGTTGATGGTGCTGTCCATTGCCGCCACGGCCTCGTCTCCTGCGAGCCATCTGGGATGTTCTTTTTTCAGCCAGCAATAACACTGCACAAGCCTGGTGCTCTTCTTTGTCAGCCCTACTACTGCAAGGGAAGGATCTCTAAAGCTGTGTGTCTGTTGAAGTATACATCCTATCACCCTGCCTGACCCTGATGACAGGATAACATAGCGGGCAAAGTTCAGGCCACAGTGGTAAAGGCTTTCAGAAATGTTGATTACATTTGCAATCAATGCTGAGCTTGGAAAGACTTTCCCTTTATTTGTGCGGTGGCAGCAGCAGCATGATCCAGCGAGTGTTGATCCACTGAAAGTCCAGCTCTTTAACATTTTAGTACACATCTGTAAAAATATGCTTGCTTTTTTTTTTTTTACCATTTTTCAAAATTTTATTCCTTACATTTTAACATAAAGAATAGAGGCTGCACACGTAACACTGTAATTTTTTCTGAGAAAGCCATTCAAGATAAACTATGAAGCTGTAATGGGAGGTCAGACACTACCAGCCTTTGGAACCAAACACAGGGGACAGTGAGTCCCGGCATTTCTCAGAGTTGTTAAAAGTTAGCCACAGTGGCAGAAATCTGTGTATATCTTAAAATCAATAACATCCTGTCTTTCTTGTGCATTATAGCACACAATGCACATCCTGGTTTTGACATCAACTCATGCAGCTTTTTGGTGCTGAAGTGTTTCCCTATGTAACACACACAAACACAACCGTGGCTCAGGGGGTTGGGACGCGTATCTGTAACCGGAAGGTCGCCGGTTTGATCCCCGGGCTCTCTATCCTGGTCATTGTGTCCTTGGGCAAGACACTTTCCCCTACTGGTGTTGGCCAGAGGGGCCGGTGGCGCGATATGGCAGCCTTGCTTCTGTCAGTCTGCCCCAGGGCAGCTGTGGCTACAACCGTAGCTTGCCTCCACCAGTGTGTGAATGCGAGAGTGAATGAATAGTGGCATTGTAAAGCGCTTTGGGTGCCTTGAAAAGCGCTATATAAATCCAATCCATTATTATTATTAAAGCTCCACACGAAACATTATTTTCTACACAAAAATAAATAAAACTAAGACTTTTCAGGGAGGCTAGCTGCTAAAAAATGTTTTAGCCAGTCAGTGACTCTGTCTACTCTGTTTCAGTTTAAGTGTATGAAAAACACTGACTAGTGTGATTACATAACTTTTCATTTAGTGCTAACATCTGGTCAAAGTTTCAGTTTGTCTAGCAGGATACTTTTATGACTAATATTCCCATCAGACATCTGCCTTTTTTCTTTAACTCTGCTCTCTTTAGTTTCACTTTAACTTTGAGCTGAGCTGTTTTTGAGTAAATCCAATGATTTTGTACAAAACACATTTTAAAAGTAATGCACCTAGCGCTAATCACTGGTGACAAGGCTGAGATAACAAGGCTGAAAGTCTCTTTGGGTGTGTGGCATGTTCAGGAGATACCACAGATATGCAGTGATCTATATCTTTGTAATGTTTGTAAGGTATTTAAGACTTTATCAAAAGGTCCAAATTATTTATTGTAGAACTATTTTTCTAAAGAGGAAACTTTGAGTCAGATAGTCGGTCACAGAGTGGAAATTGAAGAAATGTTTCACCAAACCACAGATTGGATGATCAGCTCATACATATGTCTGCTTTTACGAATTACTGTACTGTAATCGGCAATAAAGTGTTGGGAAATCTTTAACTGCTTTATGGAGGTGAGCTCATAATGAACAACTGGCCTTGGTTTTCCAGAAGTGACTTATGGAAAATCCCTTGAACATGTTTCACTTTCATTGTTATTCCTCCCTGATAAATCGCAGCACTTTGAAAAACAAATGCTAGACAATCTCAGTCAGCAACAAGCATAACCGGTGTGATCACACAGGAAGGGGGAGCGATTTCATGGGAATTTCTCACCTGTGAACACAATGACCTGGGGTAAGGGGGTGTGGTTATCTATGCGAAAGCATGCTGGGCGGGAGCATTGCTGTGCTGGAGCATTGCTGTGCTGTTCTTCTCACTTCCTGAACTGAAGGCCTCCAAATATGTGGAGGTACAAACGCAGGATAACCTAACATTCAGGAGCTTTGACACACCACGTTACCCTGCATTGAAGGTAAGACTCTGATTACAATAAAAACATTTCATATTCTTACATTCTTTGGAGAAAGGCAGAACCTGTACTATACAAAAGGCGTGCTCTATAAATCACCAGTCTCAGGGTGTTCAAGGAGCAAAGACATATTTTTCTGCTCTTTTCTGACTCCTGTTTGGTAGATGAGTAACCAGTTAAGGATACAGTGTAAAGTATTCGAGAAAGAGAACCGTCTGTTTTGTTTGTGTGGTTATATTATGAACAGGATAATGTTTGAAATGTCTTTTTATGTAATAGTCTGACTGATTAATCTATTTCAGTTTAAAGTGCCCGTGTAAAGCATGCTCCTGTGGCAGTATCTGATAACCTTTCTGCTGGTTACTGTTCAAATATGCAAAGGTAGGAAACAAATCATGAAAATGTAAATGGCTTTCTTTACATATCAGCGGTGTGTGTGTGTGTGTGTGTGTGTGTGTGTGTGTGTGTGTGTGTGTGTGTGTCTGTACAGTGTTTGCACACACGTACAGCTGTGGTCACAAAACATATGACAAAAATGTATCACAAGTTTTCAGTCAAGCAGCATTTGAGGAAATGCTGTTTCTTGGAATTAGTTAAGGGTCCTCTTCTAATTTTACTGTAAGTGGAGTCACTGCTGATGTGCAACTGTTACTGAAAAACACGTTTCTGTACTTTTCTTTTCATCTTAGTAAATAACCATCCTGTCAGTGATAAAATCTTTAAACAATCAAATAATCTAGATATCATTTCAAGTTCTTACAAAGTCCGTGTCTAAAATATGCATTTGCTTAGCAGTAGATAGTTATATGTACAGAGGTGTGTCCTGAGCTTGGGTGCAGTAAGTTTCAGTGAGTCAGTGCGACATGAAAACTTGTAATGAGGAACAATGAACTACACACTGAAACCAGTAGTACTGATGTCACAAGATGACATCAGCACAATGTTGGTTTGAGATATTATACAAACACGCTTTCGGCACTAAGTGATCACAAAAAAATGGTTTACATGCTTTAGTCACACTGATGTTAAATCTCTTACGAGAAACATGTGGCCAAGGTAGCAGCGATACAAATTCAAAACCCGTTAAAAATGCAGTATTAAAAGACAAGATCTACAACAGCAACAATATCTATGCCGGTCAGATCCATAAAGGTCCCACAAATTACATGAGACACACACTGGATATGAGGAATGGAAGTAGTCACTGTGATGTCAGGTTTGAGGCCTTGATTTTGGGGTTCTGCCCTGTTTTAAATCATTTGTAGAATTCACAATGAAGCAAGCAGCAGTATTTAACAAGTAACTCCTCCAAAAGGCTCCAACACTGAGTCAATGAATTGGAGATGTCCAATTCATTGACTCAGTGTATGTATGTATGTGTATATATATATATATATATGACACATGCCTCTCAAGATGGCGCAAAGTTTAGACGTATAGTATTTAGATGTTGTGCAATCTTTCCCATGCAATGTCTGCAGAGATCAATTACATAATATCTTATTTACCTGAATGCATCTGTCTTGTTTTGTTTTTTATCTCTCACCAGCTGAGAAATGCGATGAATTTACCGATCTGAATCTTGGTCACTCAATCATTGGTACCAGCCTCAAAGTTCGGTTGTTGCTATACACTAGATTAAGTGGGACATGTGGTACCCTTATGTCTCACACCGACCTGTCTGCCTACCCCCAATTTAATGCGTTAAAACCGACCACCTTCATCATTCATGGGTATCGGCCCACTGGATCTCCACCGAAATGGCTCGACAAGCTCACTGAGCGTCTGCTGGTCAGGAAAGACATAAACGTTATAGTGGTAGACTGGAACTACGGTGCTGCGACTCTGAAATATTGGGAAGCAGTGAAGAACACACGCAAAGTAGCATCCAACATCACAGCTTTGATTAACATGTTGCAGGTATGGCAAGTTGTCTGATTTCAAATGTCAGAGTGTGTAGTGTCTAGCGATTCTAAAACTGATATTTTTTCAGGAGCACGGAGCCGATCTGAGCTCCATCCACATGATTGGTGTCAGTCTAGGAGCTCACATATCAGGCTTTACGGGCGCTAACTTGAAGGGAGAAATTGGAAGAATAACAGGTAAGAGTGGCACTTACATTGACGTCACTTCCACTTCCTGATATAGAATTAAAACCTGAAGTGGTATTTTTACTTGTTTTAAATCCCTCTAAAACAGGCCAATAGTAAAGCGAGCCTAATTTATGCTTCAGGTCTTAAGAACAATCTTATTTGACTCAATCTAAAGGAGAAGAAAACTTCTTAAGAACTTGTCCCATTGAGAAGTTTGCATGACGTTTGGAAGCTGACGTGCTTAAGGGTGACATTTTGTAGTGGCTCTTGACTGAGCTTTTAATTCCTAGATTTCCAACTTTAGAAGTCACTAATAGCAAAAGGAGATAAAGCCACTGGTGCTGAAGGGTTTAAGAAAAGCTGCAGAGTGTATGAACAATGTGTTATTTGTCATGGTTGAGTTGTGGACTCAAAGGAACATACCGTGCTTCGGGTTTTGCCTGGGTTGGAGTCGCCATGAAAAAAGCGGCACAGTTTTGGTAAAAATTCCCTGAGGAGAGATGACGTTCAAAGATCACGCTAATTCTCTGGAGGCTCACTGAGAATATCTGGTTTAAAACAGCAGGGAAAAACTGTCACATGAAAAAAAAGATACGTAGAAAAAAATGAGAAAAGGAGACAGCTATGAAGGTCAGCTGGGATAAGCGCTCGTCCTAGGTGTTGTCGGAATATTTAAGGGAGGTCAACATTCTGTTTTCGACTGATGTTTTCTACTGTGATGTTTGCAGCACTGGATCCTGCTGGGCCAGGGTTCAAAGGCAAAAACCCAGAGGACCGACTGGACTCTTCAGATGCACAGTTTGTGGATGCCTTG